AAATGTATCCTCGTGTATTAGTACCTGTGTGTGTGCGTTGTTTGAGTTATATCGCATGGTTGGATTCTAAAGCCATCAAAAGAATCAATTTTGTGATTTACTGCTACAATTAATAATTGTCCCAGTAAATGCCCAAACCCTACAGAACTGGTGCCTTCAGAGAGCACACTACATTGTAGTAAAATGCAAACTGTTTTGCACACAATTCTGAAATGCATGATCTGAATTAATAGAATTTATGTTTGCTGTCTCCTTGTCAATACCTAGACTTTTTAACTGGACTGAGCTACATGACAAATGAAAATATTTTCAGGATGTAAATATTGTGAATGGATCATGAACCCTTTTGATTTGTTACATTTAACCAGTGCTCTCACATTATTTGTGTGTGCATATGTGTACAGATGAAAGCCACATTTATGTAACATTCTGAACTCTTTTGAATTTCCTTTTCTCATTTCTTGCCCCCAATGAAACATTTTCAGAATTGGAACGTAGAGTCAATTGACGTGTCTTCAAATTCTCTTCATTCTCCCACTCTGTGGTGATCAAAGCAAGATTTTCATTTAAGTTTAAGTGGATCTGGTACATCCACTGGTAATATATGATTTTTTATAATATATTTAAGTACTACCACTAATTCATTAATGAAAAAAATGCTTATTATAAATTACAAATGATTCGTTAAATAAAGAGTTTTACAAATCCCTGCAAACAAAAAATGTAACAAATTTAAGCCCTGAAAGACAACTATTTGCTCACACAAATTGCTTGCTTAATTCATCAATAACTTTCAAAGTCACATGTTCCAAATCTTTAGAAATGAATGATTTAGACAAGCTATAAAGACTACTGGATTAGAGATCTTCAGGAACCCCATCTAAATGTTCAAAATCTGAAATGTGATGGTTATTTTACAGTTATTAATTTGATGTGTGTAATTTAAGTTTGCTGTTCACACGTTGCACTTTGCAAAATCTGCTCTTGTAGTGAACTTTCACTTAGGCCTCTACATCTCATCAAGATGCTCACTAAAACAAATATCAAACAAAATTCCTGTAGCTACCCCATTGGCACTTGAAATAAAGGTCTTATCATATCATAATTGTTTTTAGAACATGTTGGAGCAGTTATGACCTGTTAATAACAATCGTTTCTTTTTCATCTGAACGCACGCAAAATTAATGTAAAGGAAGTAGAAATGAGACGGGATTTTTGTCCTAAAACGCATGCCATACCACACAAAAAAAAAAGAGGCCCAGTGAAAAAAAATAATATCCAGGCAAAATGAAATCATGTGACAAGAGCTTCGGGGTGAAATTGCAGTCACTGAAGAACGAGGAGCATTTCTACAGTCTGAGAAGCCGAGAAAAGGCTGGACAGGGAATTAACCCTTGGAATTATATAAAGTGTGCGCTGTGCATTAGGTAAGATATAAGACAAATCTAGAGACGTTGTAATTTTATTGCAAAAAAAAACGTTTATTTGCCTTGGGGAATAAAAAAAAACAACTTTGTAAATTTACTTAACGTGAGATTTTAATGTTTTAAAGTGTCATTTAAAAGGGTACGTTTTTACCGTTTGGAACGCGGGAAAATCCAGATAAAATTAGGATGATGCTTTTTATATATCTTGGTCTACAAACCAGACTTTCGAGTCGCCCAACGTGTGTCAGTTTGATGTGTGATATTTTAGAGACAAAAACAGCCCAAAGCATGGCGGGGGTTGGAAACTAAAGCTGCAGTTTGGTCTGTGCAACATTCAGCAATATATTTTCTCAGTTTAATTTGTGTATCTGATTCTTTTCATTGCTTTGGCACTGTACACGATCCGAATAGCATAAATGGCACTGAAATATATGTATTTTATTTTATTATTATGATTTCCTTCTAATTAGATTTATTTTTTAATTATCACGTGCTGTACGTTTGGGGTATCATCATCGTATTTTATCAAAAATGATTCTAATATTTTAACTATTGGTCCATCCTTGGGGGTTGCATTGGTTGCAGTTGCCCCGGGGCCCTTTTTTATTGGGCCCCTTTGTTACGGCTTTTTTTTTTAGAAAACATCATCATTAAAATGGACGAGAGTTCGTATGCAGGGCGTTCAGTATGTCAGAGGCGGGAAATTATCCAATAGCAATATTAGTCTGGCATATTTTTAAATAAAGCACAGCTGTGTGGATGATTTGCAATTGGTCATTGGCGCGTTCTTTCCCAAATATGTAGAATTGGATGACGCGACCTGTTCCCCTGCAAGACTGAGCAACAGACAAGCTTACATTTAGCTAAGCTACTGTATGTGCGCAAAGAACAGAAAAGGGAATTGGAGAGGAAAAGTTTAAAGTGAGCTTTTTCAATTGCTTACTGGACACTGTCTTCAGTGCCTTGTTTTTAATAGACATTCATTGCGGAAATTTGGCAAGTGAATTGAAGTTTGTCTCATCTGTTCCCCAATGGAAGTCAACACTCCGTCCGAAATACTGCAGTATTTGGTTAATAAAGATATGAAATCTGCGTTTTCAATCACAGTGAAAGCATGAGCTTAACGTTCGTTTAGCAAACTGAAATTGATCAAAACGTATCTAAGGTCCACCATGTCGCAGGAAAGACTGCTAGCTCTGACTTTGCTGTCTATAGAGAACAGCACCGCAAGGCAGGTGGATTTCATTAATATCATCGCTAAGTTTGCTGTGACGAAAGCAAGTTGTAAACTTTTAAATAACTATGTTACTAAGTATCAAGTTCAATATGTTATCCAGTTTTAATTCTGCTCTCTTGCTCTGTGTGCACTGGCTGAGGGTGAAGGAAGCCGAAGAAGGGGGTGCTTTTGTATTTACTTGCACCCGGACTTAAGTATGGGTTGCGCCAGCCCTGGTCCGTTGATTAATAGATGCAAATGAATGTTCTTGTTTGTATGCACCCAAGAGTCCTTCATTTATGTACTGCTTTGAAAAACATTTTAGTAACGGTCAAGTCCAAAAGCAAGTTGAGAGGTTGCGTTACACAATGACCCACATTTGATTGCGACCTCGGCGTGTCTTGGTGGTGTTGTCGCCAAAGGCCCAAATAATTCAGGTCAGTGAGTGGATCGGTGTAGAGCAGTGAGTGTTAACCTGGGTGAGTGAGATGCCCTTTCTCTGGGTGCGAGACATGCCAATTTTTCAGAAGGTAAATAATCAAAAACACAAATTACTTTAGCGATTTATTTGATGAGGTGTGATAGATCATGATTTGAGTACCCAGTAGGTGCAGGCTGCAGTGAAGGTTAAGAACTAGGGCTAGATGCGGTGCTGACTGGGAACTCCAGCTCCGGCTCCAGTTTGTCCTGCTCCAAGACTCCAGTTTGAGCTTTATTATAAAGGCTTTGGTGGTGGGTGGAAATCAACTGTTTGGCTATCTGCAAAAATAGCATGTGGTTTAAATGAATTTGCCGTTAAAAGCTTTTGGACTTTCCTGAAGAAAACTCACAGTAAGAATACACAGGTTTTCACCGTGAGAACCGTGCTCGACTTCTGCTGTTTTTTAAAAAGTCTATGAGATTTGCCAAGTGAGGTAAATGGGTGCAAAGTTACGCAATCTGCACAGATGGCCTGTGTTTCTGTGATGTGTTGTTAGAACATTTGATCGCTCGGTCAAAAGCTATTAGTTCACAGTGTGACTAAAAGTTTTTAAAACTGCCAGATCATCATTATCAACTAACATTTTGGGGGCTTAATTTTAAAATGTTAAATGTGGTGGTTGAACAGAAACGGAAAATAGTAACAAAACATTAAACGCGTACATAATGCTGCAGAAACCAATACTTCTGATACATGACGAATAGTGGTTTTAAAGTAAAATCTAATCTAAAATATCAAGATTTCAACAACTATATAAAATTACCAGTAGTTAAAGTTAAATGTCGTTAACGAGATTAGGGTATTGAATACTCAGTGCTGTGTGTAAGTACCATACTTTGCATGGAATCACTTTGTGCTTTTCTTGCATTATTGGAAATGCTCTTAGCCTATGTGTGTTTTGAGACATTTTAAGACATGTCATTCATTCACGGAGCAGCTCCGGGCTCCGACTCCGGACCTCGCCTGACGGACTCCCGGCTTTGCTCCGGCTTGTTCGTGAGAAGCTCGAGAGAACAGCTGGCTTTAAAACTTTGCATTTCAAATGAATTTCAGCTCAGACGTCTTTGAAAATATTTTATATTGTAATAAAAACACGTCATCATACTGGTATCACTTTCCAGAACAATCTTTTTTTTTAAAAAAAAACGTCGTTAAATTTATCTTGAGAAGGGTTGCTTTATGTTGTTTACCTGTACGTGCGTGTGACGCTTGTTTTTTTTGTCGGAAAGGTTGTTGACGATGGCGGAGCACCTCTCTCAGAGTGAACTGGATTACCCATTTAAACTGTTGGAGTACATGAATGGATTCAGAATTTCAAAGGTAAGGGTTTGTTGCATGTTGTTACCTTCTCGTTTAATAGTAGCAGTAAAAATACCGCTGTTGGCAAGTATGCAGTGCTGTGAACACGCTCCCTCTGTCGGTGAAAGTGAAAAAACACTGGAGAAGACAATTCCGCTTTATTCTCAGTATCGAAACCTAACGGGGAATAATTTAGAGTTCTTGTTTAAATCTGATTACAGATTTAAAATAGTGATGTGTCCTATGTTCCAAACTGAAAGATTGATAGAATTGTGCTGTAGACTGTAAATGTGGTACCCTGATGTAGCGTCCCAATGGTGAGAATTTGCATTTTTTACGACTAAGTCGACTTAGTCCTTCAGCCTTAGAAATGCCGATATAGCCTCCTCATTAAGCCACCAACAAGCAATCATCCCTTTGCCTTATTTTAATCACTGCCATTAATCATTCTGTTACTACAAATTATGTTCATTAGCATGTTGATTAACAGAGTGGTGTAAGTGGCTGCTGACATTTTATAATGTATCCTTGTGTCAGTAATTCTTTTGATGAAATTAGGTTTTCTGAGAGAGTCGACAAATTATTGAAATACTGTAGTTTCATTTACCAGGATCATATATATAATTTGCATCTTAGTAGAAGACTGCTCTATTCTGGTCATAACTCACTAATTTATCTATAGACTTTTTTCTTTGTTAAAATGCGGTGTTCTGCTTGAGCAAGGTTTTTTAGCGTGGCAATTTTTGTTTGCCTTTGTGGGACTGTGTCCAGATATGGCTAGCAAGGACAACATTGTTTGCATTATAAGTCAGATATACTGAATGTGGAGCAAACCTGTATTATGTAAATAGTATTGGCAGAGTCTGTCAGTCACACTATTAGTCTTGCAACTTGTAATTCATGGTTAGCAGATGAAAAAATCCAGTTTTATATAACGTGTGCTTCGGAGTTTCTGTATACTATGTGAAACATTGCGTTATCATTGTGCAAAGCAGGACCTTTTTTCTGTAGAGCCACCAGTAACTGCAGTTACACTTTACAGTTGAGCAAGTTCAGGTAAATATTCCCTTCCCAGTATAGTAGGAATTGAGTAGCTGTTGCAGAAATCCCCCCCCTCCCCCACTCGTGATTTTGTGCTTAATTTGGAATTTCTTTAATAATCGATCGGAGAAATCGGGATTGCAGTTCCCCTTTGCAAACAAAACAACAAACCAAACTGCATACATTTGTTAATCTATTTTTTTTACTTGGGGTGTATTAGCACAGAAAAATCCAACTGTTACCTTTTGTATGAGAGCTTGTTAACCTTCCAAATGTTCTCTTGTTTTTTTTAGAAATGACTCTCGCCCTCCTCCAGCTCTGCCTTTTGGTTTGTGGGCTTGTGCTAAATGTCAGTCTGTTGCTGCCTTTTGAGTGATGTTCAGATATATTTGGATAGTTGAATGGTCAGAAATATGACTGCATTTCTCGCTGTACAGTGTTAGTTTAATTACGTCCCTTCCTCCTCACTCAGAGTTTCTCCCTCCACAGTTTTGCGTACTTGCAATGTCTGGCCAATCCCATTCCATAAGATTCTAGAACATTCCCAGCCCGTCTCCAGGACTCAGCTCAAAATTGGTGCTGCGTCTCTTTCCAGTTCCTCATTCACTCTGCATTGGTCGCTTGCAGTTCTTCGCTGCCTTTTGGTGGCAGCTGTGCGTTAAAATCCTTTCAATGAAACAAATTGGAAAGGGACTGAAGGGCAAAAAACGTACTGTACAGTCAGCTCTGCATGTTTTCTCAGTACGGATTGGATATAATGAATTTGTTACTGCCTCTATTTTTTATGACATGAGAGTTAGTTGATTTGAATGCAAATCTGTTGTACTACACGCAAGTAGGAATAAACACAGGTGCAGCTGCTTCTGTTCTGGACTGAGGGTGCTATCTGCATGGAGTTTGTATGTTTTCCCATGTTCACATGGGTCTCCTCTGGGTCCTCTGGTGTCTTCCCACAGTCCTAGAGCATACTGGTAGGTTCAAGGACTTCCAGGAAAATTGGCCCTGGTGTGTGCTTGTGTGCCCGTTGTTTGCCGAGATAGTTTCTGGCTCCCCCACGACCCTGAATTGAATGAAGCGGTTTAGAAAATGGATGGATGGGTGAAACTTTTTCTTCATGATAAGTTTTGAATAAAGGTTTTCGCTTTAAAAGGTGTTTGAAATATCAACCCCTGCTCCATCTTTATGGATTTCTCTCCCTTCCCCCACACACTCCACCACTGTGACATCTGTGGCTAAGGATCTGTGCCTGTGGCTGGAAGGTTGCCGGTTTGTATCCTGAAGCCGGCAAAGGAATCCTACTCCGTTGGGCCCCTGAGCAAGGCACTTAACCCCACCTGCTCCAGGGGCACCGTATAAATGGCTGACCCTGCGCTCCAACCCCAAGCTTCTCTCCCTGTTTGTGTTTCTCATGGAGAGCAAGTTGGGGTATGTGAATAGACAAATTCCTAATGCAAAAAAATTTATATGGCCAATACAGTGATCTTATCTTATTTCCTATCCCTTAATAATGAACACTGACCCATACTGTTCCCTTCTCTTGCACTTTTTTCAATGTTTTCATGGTTGTTTTCAATTAATGCCTAATAAAACACTCTTTTGAGAAACTGACACTTAATTTTATACACTGAATGTGTAGAAATTATTGAGGTTATTTTAACTAAAGTAGCTACAAGCACATTGGCAGGATAATAATTGAAGTGCCGGTTACAAAACCTAGCTGTGTAAAGCACAACAACATATTTGTAATAGATCAGTTTAATCTGTGTATCTGTCCTTCCATCTGTATTTGAGCAACTCCTGCCCTCAAGGGCCTCCAGATACAATTTCGTTTTCATCTCTGATGTTATTCAGTTGAACGCATTAGTTGGCTAAGAAGTCCAATGGTCTTTGTTTTGGGTCTTAAGAACCTGTACCTGTGACAGCTGCAGGAATCTGGTCCTGGAGGAGTAGAGTTCCTCAGCCCTCACAGCCCTTTTGTGTGGAAGAGCCCTCCAGTGAATAATGCAGAAAATAACTCTGAAATAAAACACATGGTACAAGGACCCAAAGGAAGCATGGCATTTTATTTTACTTGTTGTATGCTGACAAGAAGAGGGTCGGTCTGTAGTCATGTCAAAAGCTTTGCCCAGTATCCCTTAAATCTGCAGCCTTCACTGCCCCGGATTATAGAGAAGTTCCCTTCTGTAAACATCAAATACTTGGGCCCGGTGGCTAAGCCCTGTTCTAGTCGATTAGTCAAGCAAATCCTCCTCCCCCACCACCACCACCATCCTTTTTCTCGGCAGGCACACGATACTCCATGGCGTTGTTAAATCTTCAGTCAGATCACATTATTTACAGATGAGCAGGGCAGTAGAATATGTAGTATGAAAAATTAAGGCTCCGCTGCTTCAAAATATATAGATATTTACGATTATGATAAACTAAGCAGTTAAACGGAAAGAAGGAATATACTTGCATGTTGATTAAAGACACAACATGCTTTTGTGTTCTATAAAAATCATTATAGATGTATCGTGCTGTACTATATTACAACTCTGTACGTTTGAGTTGTGTATGTAGTTTTCTTTTTTTTTCGCCGTCCCCACTTTGCATCCTCTGAATGCAAAGCATCCTAACAGAGCAGTTAGGAGAAGCATTGAGAAGCGCAGACTATGTTGCTAGATAAAATATTAATAATTTTACTCTATACATTATGATGTCCTTATTTTCCATATGTACTTTATTTAATGTAACTATATGTTGTATTAGTAGTACTGTGCATAAAAGCTGAATGTTAAAGTATTTTGCTGTTGTGCTTTCATATTGGTGTGCATCTGTACACTATGCAATGTTGTGTGTGTACACCATCCCACGACTGCCACTGCTTTGTCACTGAGCAGTTGCTCACACACACAAAATCTCTATCGCATACACACACAAGATCTCTTTCATTTATGGTTTAATTTTCATTAACAATGAATGCATTCTATTTCTAAGCACTTCTAATGTATAATTTAATCTTGTTTGAAGTGTTCAACTTAATGGGTATTACAGTAATTATGTTTATACACAGAAAGCATGAATGTATAACTACTGTAGACTTAAGTCATCAAATATGTCAGACTCAATGTCCAAAGGGGAATATTTATGTTCTCCTGGTTCCCATTAACCCCTTTCCCATTATTTCTTTTGCAGAATAATCAACATTAAGCGGGGAATTTGATTAACGTCACCATTTTACAGTCCCTCTTAAGGGATCTCCAGTTATTATATAATAAATTGAGTATTGGGTGCTGTGACCTCCAGAGATATGGTTAATGGTACATTGTCTCCCAGTCCTGTTAAAAATGCTGCATTTCTTCTTGCTCTGCACAGATAATCTTCTCTGCTTGTGAGCTGGGGGTCTTTGACCTCTTGCTCCAGTCCCAGAAACCCCTCAGTGCAGAGTCTGTGTCCCAGGAGCTGCAGAGCAGCCTGGATGGCATGGAGCGACTCCTGGATGCCCTGGTGGGGATTGAGATTCTGGATGTGGAAATAACAGAAGGCAAAGGTTGTTTGGCCAGATGAGCTGGTCTTTATTTACATTTTGTTTTGTTTCCGTGTTGATCACCCGAGGGGAAAATGCATACAAAATGTGTTCAAGTGCTCTCAGTTTGCCAAGATGATAACTGATTGGTTACATTTAGTGAAAAAGGTGCCACGCACATTCCATATTTTTCGTTTCGGGTGCACCTCTGCTGTTTTATTAAAAACAATTCCTTCTGGAAAAAACACAGTTGATGATTTTTCAAAGTCCAACAAATCATCTGCTGAGATGATAAATGCTCTTAGGCAGTCTGATGCAAAAATAGACACTTTGGTCGGCTGCCGATGTCTTGAGCGGTGGGCCAGATGAGTCTGAAGACCGTGATGAAAAGTGTTTTGAACAAAGGAACAGAAAAGGGACTCTAGTGAGGACCATTAATTCAAATGGAAGTAGATTGCAAGGCTGAATTGCCAGCAGCGTTTAAGAAAAATAAGGAAGCAAAGGACTCTCCTCTACAAGCAGAGGATACTAGTAACCCGAGTATCGGTTCCCAAAAACATGAAAACCAGCCCAGAAGAAGACTCCTGTAGGAGAAGAGGGTCCTGCATCCTAAGAACCAAAGGCTCTGGCAAAGAAAAGTGGCAAAGTTAGCTAAATGATCTTCATTTTAAAGCATTTTTTATTTTTAAAATGCTGCTTTTTAAAAAAATAAAGAATTCCCTTGTTAGAGAGTTTCCTTAAACTTAAACTTAGAAAAAAAAACAAGACACTGCTGTTCTTTCAGTCACTTCACTGGGGTCTAGATAGCAAAAAACTGTCCTAGAAATCCGCTGCCAATATCAGAATGTTACCTATGCTGAATGTAGAAATGGGACATCACTCAAGCTGACCACATGCGTGCTTATTCAGTAAAAAACAGAAGCACTGAAAAACAACAAATGCTCAAAAACAAAGCAAAAGGTTTGACCATAGCTCGAGTACAGTATTACAGATAGTAATAATAGTATTCTGTGTCCACATTATCAAAGAGCTAGGCAGAGCACCTTTCAGAATTTCAGAAAAAAAAACCTGTGTTAGTCTAGGGCTAAAGCATGCCAAAGTTATGAGATATTTTGCTATTGAAAAATCTTTCATCTTTGCAATCAGATCTGCTCCATACCTTCTTTTGTAAAGTGAAGACACTTTTAGTTCACTCCAGTTGTTATTCCAAAGCTTATCAAACAGAATGCGAAAAGAGAAGTGAATACTTCATAATCCTGTAGTGATTATGAGAAAAATATTTTACACTGCTGAATTCCAGATACACAGTGCATACTGTCATCATAGACCATGTTGGCTGCATTTGGTGGCCTAATGCTTTATTAAGTGACTTTAAATAGGTGTTTCCATTTTTTTCTCCTTTACCTTTCTCTGTTACACCTGGTCACAGGCTCGGTCTCCATGGCTGTGTTTGCACAAGGAGTCAAACACCTCCTGATGCTGTGAGGACTTATTCAGGCCACTTGTCCCAGCCACCTGCCTGCATTTGATGGGTAATCATCCCATTACGTCCAGGATATTAAAACCCTGATCTGCCTATGGTCTGGTGCTCTCTCATTGAGTTTCCTTCTTGCTAGGGAAGTTCTCGCAGCACAACCAGCTCTCTTAAGAGAAGGATTACCTAACTAATCAGGCCCGTGTAACTGTCCAGTTTCTGAACCTCACTCGTCAATCCTCAGAGAGTTAGGTGCAGCTCGGCCTAACTGCTTAGCACATATCCTACTCACCAATCTCCCAAGCGCCCTAGCAGTGCAAATCCTGCTGGGCAATCTCCACCCACCCTCGCAGCACTTTTCCTGTTTGGCTGTCTCTGCCAGCTCTCCTATCTGCTCGTGCCTTCAGTTGGATCAAGCACTTGGATTCCTCATCCTGTCCAACAGACACAGGTTTTATGACATCTATGTCATAATAGAATGGAAGAGCCACAAAATATGAATCCAGTAGGCATCAGTGAAGTGCTCCACATCATGGCCAGCCAAGAAGCTGCGCTGTGGGCGCAGGAGGAAAGTGCAGAACCTGCAAGCAGTCATGCATGACATGCAGCAAGCCCTCATCTCTCCCTGCTTCTTCTCCCATTGCAGTCCAGCTTTGCTTTTGTGCAGATGTCTTGCGGTGAGCACAGATGCCCCCTCCCATTCCATTCTCAGGAGACCCAGAGTGCTGCAGAGGTTTTCTCACTCAGTGCAGCATCATTGTTGCCATGTACCTGTCCTTCTTCCAGCATGTTTGATGAGTTTCATGAAATGGAGGTTGTCGTCTTGGGGTACATCATTTCCTCTTATGGCCTGAAAATGGACTCCAGTAAGATCTTTGTAGTTAAAGACTAGCCTGCTTCCACTACCCTCAACCAGGACCAGCGTTTCATGGGGTTTGCCACCTGTTTCATTTGGACTGGCCAAGCCACAACCATGCTGTCAAGTTGACCCCTGAGGTGTGGGAGGCCTTCATGAAGGTGAAGCACTCCTCTCCACTGCCCCCGTCTATCGCCATCCAGATGATTTGTTGCCATTTGAGGTAGAAATGTATGTGTCCAATCTGGGAGTAGGTAGTCTTGTTGCAACAGCTTGGTTTACTGCCCAGACTCCACTCATATGCTTTCTTCTCCTGTAAAACTGCGAGCAAAATTATGATGTGGTCAGCCCAGAGCTGCAGATGGTCAAGTGGGTCGCTCAATGAATAGAGACACCTAGAGGGAACCTTGCACCCTCCACAGACCACAGGAATCTGGAGTACATTAACAAGGTCAAACAACTGAATCTGGTGCGATGGGCCCTTCACTTCTCACAGTTTGAGTACCCCATCTCCTATTGACCGGGAAAATAAGGAAAAATAAGGAATAAGGAAGCAAAGGACTCTCCTCAACAAGCAGAGGATATTAGTAACCCGAGTATCGGTTCCCAAAAACATGAAAACCAGCCCAGAAGAAGACTCCTGTAGGAGAAGAGGGTCCTGCACCCTAAGAACCAAAGGCTCTGGCAAAGAAAAGTGGCAAAGTTAGCTAAATGATCTTCATGGGCCCTTCACTTCTCACAGTTTGAGTACCCCACCTCCTATTGACTGGTAGCAAAGAACAGCAAAGCTGATGTCTTGTTGAGGATCAACGCTCCAGACAAGGTCCTGCAGGAACCGAGTACATTGAGTACTAGGAGCCACCTTGCTGGACGTAGAAGAGGCATGCATTTGCAACACTGGCCTCCAACTCCTTCAGATGCTGTGCTGCTCCCCAAAAGGCCAGGCCAGAGGTGCTGCAGTGGGGTTATTTCTCGAGGGTAGCGGGTCACCTAGGATGCTCCCTGGAGCTCATTTGCCACCAAATAAGATGGCAAAAGACACTTACACAGCACGAGGGGGGCTACTATATTATCTGTCTGTTCCAGAACATTTGTGAAAATCGATCTCCATGGACTTAATCTCTGCTATTCCTTGCTCTTGAGGCTATTCTGTAAGCCTCATCATTGTCGCCAGGTTCTCCAGAGCCACACGCTTCATTCCACTTTCCAGTCAAGCATCTGCTTCGCAAATGACAGACATTTCTACTAGACATGTTCCAGCTCCATGAGTTCCTAGCTAACATCGTTTCTGACTGCAGCCCCATGTTTGTTTCCATGTTCTGGTGGATATTGTTGATAACTTGGGGTTCAGATCAACCTCTCTTCTGGATACCACCCTAAAGACCAATGGCTGGATGTTACAATACCAGGATGGGTTTAAATCCCTTCTTCTCAAGTTGTCTTCAGATCCCATCAGACCTGGAAGGGGAACGGCAGGTCCTAAAAGCTAACCTCTATAAGGCCACACAGCAGTAATGATGGTTGTCCAACTGTCTCCTCTGGTGTGGCTTTCCACTGAATACTTGATCCTTAGTCTAATTCAAAAGAATTTTGCTCCTCAGTTCAGCCCATATAAAGTGGAGGAATGTGTTAATGCCATCACATACTGGCTCATCCTTCCCCATTCATTGGGAAGGGAAATCTGCATTCCACGTTTCTCTACTGAAGTCCGCACTGGTTACCACTCCCAGTGAAGGGCTCCGAAGAACCTACACCCCATCATATCAAAAACTCTGGGTGGATACAGGAGTTCCTGCTGTACCTGGTGCCCTGGCGGAGCTGTGGACCAGAAGAACAGTTGTGGGTGCCAGCCAGGGACCTATGAGCACCCAGAATCGTCCACTTCTTCTACAGTATGTCTGGTTCCCCAAGAATCCCTCTTCTGTAGATTGCCCTTTGAGAAGAGGCCACTGTTATGCCTGGGTCTCTCCCTCTCGGTCTCCATGGTAGCTGGCCATGTTTGACCAGTGTCATTGTCCCAAACCCCTGCTTGGTAGCGTGGTTCTCTGTCCTGCTCTGCTCTTAGCCTTCAGCCCAGCTGCTAAGCGCTGTCTCCGCCCGCTCTCTTATCTCCTCATGTCTTCACTGGGATGAAGCACTTATATTCCTCTTCCTGTCCAGTAGAGGCAACTTTTTCTATCTTACCTCAGTATCATAACTGAATTTCTATAGGAGCCATTTTCGGTGACTGTTTAATTTGCTTTTTTGTTAATGCTTTTGTTAACAATTTACCGCACTAATTGAGGTACCACAAATGTATCTTCTCCTTTCAGTGGGATCATATTGGTTAAGTAGAATGTGCAGTGGGGCACTGGATCAGCTAATATTTTTGTGTTTTGCATTTTAGCATTCTACAGCAACACTGATGTGGCAAACCTTTACTTGGCAAAAGGCAGCCCCAAATCTCTGTTTGGCATGGCTATCTTCAACTCTGACCCCACATACCTAATGTGGGCGAACTTGACTTCTGCTGTCAGGTGGGTTTGATCTGCCAAAGAGATAAAGGCTCTGAAATGTTTGTGGAATGGCCCTGCATCTGATAAAAATGCCTTGTAACAACATTCATTGCAAGGGACACAGAGATAATTTTTCTTTGGTATTTTTAATAGAAGAACAAGATTAAGTCCACGCTAAAAAAATCAAGTTTTTTTTTTGCTGCTGAGCCATCTTCAGATCTGAGCGAGAGAGTAAGGTGGTGGGGAATCTAAAGCACAGGAGAAGAAAGGACAGAGTAGGTGTGAAGTGGCACACAGATGAGAAAGTGAGTGTTCACAAGAAGGCAGGTTTGGAGTCTGAGGTGAGAAAGATGAAATCTGTAATGGGGAGGGTTTAATAAGCAATTAGTTTGATGTTGAGAGAAGAGGGAAGTTATGATCCAGTTTTAAGGACAGCTACCTAATGATTTTCTGGAGCAGGAGTCCGGGAATCCCTGTAAAAGAATGCAGATAGAGAGCTCAGTTCCCCCATTTCACCTCTTCTGGCCAGAATTTCACTATCATCCTCATTGCAGTGAAAATCTTTGATTAAGCAAGTAACCTAATTTTACTTCTTCGGAGAGAAAATGTCCCTTGTGATGGTCAGCCAGTCTTCGTCCTGTCTTGTCGACGTACATGACATTATTTTCTATAACTGATGCAGTAAATGAGATCACTCGAGACACATGATGTTCTCTGGGTGATTTTGAGACAGCCTGAGTACTGTATATGCATGATGTAAGATGCATATTTGCAGGTGCCACATCAGATCCTGTTCCAGGAAAAAATGTGGACAAGAAGCCTGTGTACATCAGGTGGTTAATAATATGGGATGATGCGGGGGTTCTGAGAAAAATGTTTTAATGGAGGGGTCATCCTGTAAAACATAGAAGTTGTTTCTTCTTTCTGTTTTTCAGCTGGGCATTACCTTTACGTCCCTTTGCAACCTATGCAAGCTGACACAGCTCCCCATTTGTAATAAAATATTTTGTAGCAGTATAAAACATGATCATGTATTGCTAATTGGTAATCTGAATGTCTTGTTTTATTATGGACAAAAATGTATATCTTACAGGGAAGGGAAAAACCAGTATGAAAAAACCTTTGGGCTTTCAGCGGAGGACCTCTTTGAAACAGTATTTAGGTGGGATCATTTTTTATATCTCTTTTATATCTTATTTTATATTACCTTATATATCTGAATGAAGATGAATAACATTGTTATACAGTTAATTTCTTCCTTCCTTAGGACATCTGAAATCAGGTCATAGTGTTGATGTCTCAGGCTCAGTTCCTGGTGAGTTTCATGCCTTGTAACTAGTCAATTAAACAGTTATATGTATGAGAATTTTCTAAAGAGTCTTTTACAGTGGATCACCGAAGACATCATTAAAGGTTCAGTTACCCATAAAACTCCTAGGAGCCTGGTTATAAGTATTGTAGTTCATGAAATGAGTGTGACACCCCAGTTGTAGTTTATTTGTATGCATTCCTCACTCCAGTTACTAGAAATAGGTAAGTTGCAATCACATTATTTAAGCAAAGCAATATTATATGATACTTTGATTTAATAGATTATTTCCTAATGTTTTCTTCATACTGTAATGACTGGATTACAAAATATTCTGGTTTTGAATGGTGCATTTTTAATGAAGAAACCTACAGGTAAGCAATACAGAAATGCTGTAAGGTGTCTTAATAGTGGGGCCAGCAGGGGGCGCTCACCCTGCGGCTCATGTGGGTCCTAATGCCCCAGTGTAGTGACGGGGACACTATACTGTAAACAGGCGCTGTCATTCGGATGATACGTAAAACCGATGTCCTGACTCTCTGTGGTCATTAAAAATCCCAGGGTGTTTCTCGAAAAGAGTAGGGGTGTACCCCGGCATCCTGGCCAAATTTCCCATCAGCCTTTATCAGTCATGGCCTCCTAACAATCCCCCTCTATGAATTGGCTTCATTACTCTGCTCTCCTCCCCACTGATAGCTGATGTGTGGTGAGCGTTCTGGCGCACTATGGCTGCCGTCGCATAATCCAGGTGGATGCTGCACATTGGTGGTGGTGGAGGGGAGACGCCATTACCTGTAAAGCGCTTTGAGTGGAGTGTCCAGAAAAGCGCTATATAAGTGTAAGCAATTATTATTATTATTATTATTATTATTATTAATCTGGACAGAGCTTGTTAGAAACTTAATAAAAATTACCTCTGTAAATTATTAGCAACATTCTAGTTCACCTAGTGTCAGATGCTAGTGCTTTGTTTTTGTTGCTCATGAGGATCTGTGTTAAGCAGATAAATATAGCTGCTATTACTTCATTCAGAATGACCCTTTTTTGGTTTGCATGTGTACCGTGTGTAATAAGTTCTTCTTTTATCAGAGATCACATTTAATTTTCATATACTGTATATGGTTTTGATACTCGACATGATGTTTGTCATTTTGTTAGTACTTATTGCCCATAAATACTTCTTATTCCAAATAGAAACTGCTCTGTGGTTTGAAAGGTGGTTTATTCCTTTGCTACGGCACTTACCATAGCATACTGCTTAACTGGTGAATTTCAGATCTGACGAAGAATTGGTGAAGTTCATGGGACTGATGAATTCAATTTGGACCATTGATGGGCATGATGTCGTGACTGCCTTTGACCTTTCACCTTTCAAAACTATAGTTGACCTTGGAGGTATGCCAGTTTATGTTTGGTTAGTGTTTGCCGCAAGGAGAAAAAGAGTTAAACAGGTAAACGGACAACTGCACTCTTAGGTACTTAAATGTTATGGGGTATTAACTGTGTGGTGTGTGTGTAAATGAGCATATTTGATCCCTCACAGCTGTGCTCTGAGCTTTACATGTTGTACATTCTCAATTTACAGATAAGAGTAACTACAGTTTCCATTTATTAGCTACATGTGTATCACAATCTTCAATTAGACATAGCACATTCATTCCAATTCTCTCTACTCTAGTTGGTTTCTTATCTTTATTTTGGTCATAACTGGTTTACAAAACTGGAGCCTCTAATATATGATTTGAAGATATGTTGCATAGAAAGGTTTCTGGAATTAAGCAAATTACTTTCTGGAATCCTCATGAGATCTTGAATTGGAGAAAGAGAAGGGCACCTCAATTTGGAATAGAGACCCATGTAAAAATGTAGCTCTTCATGATTATAGTCTGAATCATTCAGATTCCATTTTTGAGAATGGAAAGAGGGTGAGATTACAGGCTGTTATGGAAAGGGTGCTTTTCAATTTTGTGTCTATTTTGTCAACCATAAAGTCCCAAGTGTTGGTCTGTGGTGGTAATTTTCTAAAGTGAACACAAGGAAGGTCACAGCTCTCGTCTGAGTAAACCTTTCTGAAAGGTATGTCTTATTTTCCTCTGCTCTTAAGTTCAAATGTTCAGGGTGCTATATAGTGTACAATTACTTAATTGACGAGGGCATTTCATTTTTACATTCATAAAGTCATCATGAACATCAGGAGTTTTTGATTTATAGACCAGTGCTACTGTCACTGTTGAAACTGATGTTCCAAGCCTGATCATGCTAGAAGGTCTAAGTATTAATTAGCTGGAATGTGTCCATTCGTGATAAGCACTATTTTGGATATAAAAATAAAAACAATAGAAAACCTTTGCTCATCGAACACTAACCTAGAAAAATCATATTCTCTACCTGTCAATACCTGAAATAAATATGCAGACCTATTGTGTCAGTTGAAAAGAACCTCTAATTCCATTTCTATAAAGCAGCTCGACTTCCAGCTTCGTTCTTCTCTCTCTGTTGTCCTCCAGGCTGCACAGGAGCTCTGGCCCGCGAGCTGTCCAGGGCCTATCCAGACTCCTCTGTCATCATCTTCGACTTGCCTCGAGTGGTGCAAGCTTCCAAGAAGAACTTTTCTCAACCAAGCGATACCTTTACATTTCAAGAAGGTAGGCTTGTTTTTTTTGGTGTCTGGACATCAAGGACACTGTGAATAGGCAGGGAAAAAGTAGGGCTGCTTTTTGATCAAGTGGTGGTCTGAAATTAGGAATTTTGAAATTTCACTCAGTTTAAGCAGGTTTTGGATATGAATCTTAGAAATTCAGAAGAGCTATACTCTCATCTGGGACTATATTGCTTCATCTTTTTCTGATATTTGATGTACAGTGCAATACAAGTGCAATTAGCACCACTAGAGAGAGTCTATGTATAAAATGGCTTCATCCACAACAGCTGTTACAATGTCCTGAGTTCTTAAAACACAGTGTTTCAAATTTTATATTAGGTATTTTTTTGCTTTTGGGGTATATTTACATTTAACAATACCAAGAGACTGTGCTTCCGTTGTTTGCTGGGATCCAAATTGCTTCAGTATTCTAGGCTTTTTCAAAGCTTTTTGTTTAATCTTGGTTTCACTGTGCATTATGTTGTCCAAGTCGAATATGAAGGAGCATAAAGAAGGCAAGCCATTCATCTAAGCCCATCAGAAAGCATTTATGCTGTCTTAGGTCTTTTAAAGGCTCTGGCTATAGAAATATGGAGCTGACAGCAGTGGTGAATTGTGCAGCTACTGTATAATTAACTTTCATCATTTTTCTCTGACGTTTAGTATCTGCTTGAGGTGGGAATTGGGATAAATTCGGGCAAAGTGACAAGATAACACTTTCGCAGTGCTGTCAGTCAAAACAGTAATATAGAGCTTATGCATTACCTAATACTTCACTTGTTCTTATGCGAACTATACCAGTGCATTGGAGAGTTTAGTTTAAAATGTGTAAACACTTGGAAAATCTAATCACTCTAGCAGAGTAAATATTAAATGTATTGCGTTTACTTATGTCATGAACCGTTAAAATGTTACACATCTTTAAGAAGGGTTACAGCATACAACAGCTTTAACTGTTGAATGACAATGTACTTTTTTAAGCAGAAAAATAAACAGGAAGGTTACAAAATAACAAATGACACTATATCATTTATGGGAAATGATTGAGAGAAGTGTTTTAAGTTGGAGTGTAAGTGCGCCATCTAGAGCACAACTCTAGGAACTTCAGTCAGGGAAATTGAGAATCTTTTGAGAGAGAAGTGAATTGTGTGTGCGGCAAATCAGAATAGTTCTTGCTGCAGTTCTTTCAGTGTTATGGTAAAAAGTTGTCAGTGCCACATTGGAAGTTGTAGGTAGCTTTTTTTCTGAGTTGTAATTTTGTATAGTGATTTAATCCTACTGACCTGGGGGATATTCTCTGAGCTTTCTTCTGTTTTTTTATTATAAATGTGTTAATTAAATCACAAGCCTAGGTTCTGTGCTTAGAAAAAACAAAATAGGACATTTATTTTAAGCTTTTCCAACAGACATCATATTTCAATGCAATATTTTATGGGCAAACTGTTTTGTTTTCTTTGGTGAATGAACTTTGTCTTTGTTAAACAAATGTAGAGGAAATGAGAAAAGGGGCAAAGATTTAGGCATGTTTCCCTGTTTTGTGGGGAAGATATAGTCACCTCCAGATATTGGTAACCTTGGTAAAGAAGAGTCTGATGGAGAAAGCTGTGGCTTAGTTAAAGCCTTAGATTCTCTGCAGTAAATTGGACACACTGGTCTTGACTTACTGATTGAATTCCTGCAGGCTGGAATTCAGTCACAGAAAAAGGGGTTTGTCTGATTGGCTCCTGTGCTTAATTGGACACTCCTCATGAGTAGCAGCAATAGTAGCAGTAGTCATTATATCAGCATTCAGGTGCAGAGGGCAGGGGAGCTGTTTCTAAGCTCCTGCTGTCTAGCGAGGGAGTGTTAGTAGTTTAGGAGTTGAGATGGCACAGGAGTGTTTATTCAGCTCCTGTGCTTTAATATCAGCCAGCCAGCCAGCCAGCAGTCCCAACCAGATTCAGATTTGAGAAAAAGACCATGAAGACTTGCAGGGATTTTGTTATGGGTGGATTAGTAAACAAAGATGGATTCACTTAAGAGTTTAGTAGTCTTTCTGGCATGTCTTGTATTCTTTTATTAGATTGGATTCTCTGTAGTCTTTATAGTGCACTAGATTAGTAGTGTTCAAAAGTTGGATACTGGGCTCATCTAGATCTCAGAAGAGATGGGGAACATGTATTTTCCAATGTGGAGAAGACGGGCCGTGGAAAGGTGAGCCTGATTGAGTTTTCAATGGCTTGCAGAAAATAACAGGAAAGTTTTCTTTTATATGGAAGAAGAGAAACTGAGAATTAGGGAATTCGTCAGGAATTTGTCTGTTCCAGCTCCCATGGGGATTGAGGACTGAAGAGATGTTTAATGGGAGAAGAGGAGCTGAAGATCTTCTCAGAACTAATATCTCTGTGAAGGACTGGCTTTTGGAACTGAGCAGGCTTCTCTGAAAGGGGACCACTGCAATACCATTCTCCCATCCACTGCAATGCCAAGACTATCCATCTATCCATTCAATACTGGACAAAATCAAGCTTCAGCTGTGCTTCCGCCTGGAATGTCCCAGCAGGCTTTTTGTTGCAGGAAAGCTATGAGTGTACTTCTAAGCTGATTAAATGTCAATCATAACATCAATGACGGGGTACATTAAAGATATCTAAAGGACATTGAGGAAGAAACCACTACTCTGTTAAAAACATTGCAACTTGGGTCAGTTCACCAAAGCGCACCCGGACAACCCACAAGATTACTGAAAGAATGTTCTCTGGACAGATTAGTAATGAGCTGAACTTTGATAAAAAAACAAAAAGGTTTCTCATTTAAAAATGAGAAACCTTTTTGTCTGGTGAAAATCAAACACTGTCTTCCAACAAAAGAACCTTATTCTAACCATCAAAGGTTGGTGGTGTCAGCATCCTGGTTTGAGCTGTTTTTGCTGCCTCAGAACCCTGTCAGCTTGCAATCATCGACAGAACCATGAATTCTGTATTGCATCAGCAGATTCTGGAGCATAATGTCTGGGCGTCTATTTGTCAGCGGAAGCTGAGCCAAAAGTGGGTCATGCAGCAAGAAAGTAATCCTGTAAATATAAGCAGATCTTCAACAGACTGACTGAAGAAGAAAATAATTTGCGTTATGGATTGACCAAATCAAAGTTCAGACCTAAACCCCTTTGAAATGTTATAACAGGACTTGGAGCAAGCAGTTTGTGAAAGGAAACCCTTGAAATGTCACTAACGTGAAGCAGTTCTGTAAGAAAAAATTGGCCAAAGTTCCTAGAAGTTGATGAACATTTACAGGAACATCTATTTAAAGTTATTGCTACTTAAGGAGGTACCACCAGTTATTGAATTTATTAGTATAACAGTTCACAAACATATTTGCCAAGAGGATATGTACTGTTCAAACATTTTTTTTAAATAATTCAAATATACAGTATGTGGTAATGTTATATATTTATTCAGGCTCTCTTCATTTGTATTAAGACTTTGTCTAATTAAGTTCTAATGATTATTTAGGTCTAAAATATACAAAAGTACCACCTTTTGGGCTTCACATGCTTTTATCAGAACTGCACATATTCTTCACATTTACTCAACACAGTGATTTTATATAATCAAGCATTCCTTAATTACAAACATTCCACTTGAGATGAAATCTTTTAAATAAACGAATCCTCCTGCCTATAAAAACATTCCAAATACCCTATCAAGACCGGTCTAGTTTTTTAATATACGTATGTATAGCAATTCAATTAGTTCAGTGTATTTACAGTAGAAATATGGACATAATGATCTCTAACAGTTTAGTTTACACTACAGTATAATAAAACTGTTTGTGGAAAGAGCTTTAAATGTAATGCTGTGTTCAGTCCATAAGTGTAAAAGCGCATTAGCGCCATAGAGGGGAAAAAAATGTTTAATAGTTATTGCGTTTAAATAAAAAACTTATTGTGTTTATTTTGAGATAATATTGCACTTAATCGCGATAGTTAATTTGTGAACAATACTGCCTTTTTGGGAAAATAATCTAAAGGAGCTTGTGTACTGTCTTCAGTATACATGAAGTAGAACAGCCTGTGTCTGAGCATTCCTGGGTTACACACGTGTCGTTTTCACCATTTCTGTGACAAGTAGATTGACACAGCTTTCCAAACATATGAGAAACTGCAAAAATGTGTACTGTACATAGGTTTTTGCCTACTCTTTAAAAATTGAATGGAATTAACTTACCATGACATGACAGTAAGACTTATACCGACTTTTGGCTTCCTGTTACTACTTTAACGCAATACTATCTCGTATAAATGCAATAAGCTTCTCAACTAAATGCATCATGCATCTCGTTTAAACGCCAAAAAAAATTATACCTGGTGCTAATTTGTACTGAAGCTTAAGATGTTAAAGTATTAATTTGGAATATCCAGAACGTTACTGTCTTAAAAGTATATTGTTAATATCATTATCTCTCCTGGAAGGAAAAGTGCGGGAAGATTGATAAATTAGAATAAAAAAAACACAAGTAAACAAAAACAAATTATCCACCCAACCATTTTTACTCCGCTTTTCCTGGTGAGGGTCGTGGTTGGAGCAGGCCGAGTAGATCAGCCCAGACTTGCCTGTCCCCAGCAACGGATTCCAGCTCCTCCTGGGGGGTCCCCAGCCGCTCCCAAGCCAGCCGAGAGATATAGTCCCTCCAGCGGGTCCTGGGTCTGCCACGGGGTCTCCGCCCAGTGGGACGTGCCCAGAACAGCTCCAGTGGAAGCCAACCGGGGGGCATCCTAATGAGATGCCCAAACCGAATGAACCCTGCCAGGGACAGGGCTAACCGGGACCTGCCCCTGGAGCCAGGCCTGGGGGTGGTGTCCGCCTGGTGGCTGGGCAGCCCACATAACCCGGCCGGGCTCAGCCCAAAAGCCAATGTAGGGCCGTCTTGTGGGCCTGCAAAACGAAGGTTGGGGGTCAGGTGCGATGCCAGCTTAGTGGCAGGCATAAGTGGAAAGGACCTAGACGGACTGGACCCTGGCAATGGAGACTGCGCCACTTCACCATTCCATGCACAGTTTATTTTTGAGTGCACTACGTTTTCTTTTTAAAACCAAACATTCAGTCCCATGAATAAAAAAAAAAAAATTGGGTCCAAGTAATTAGGTAAAGTTCAACTTATGTTAATAATCTTGATGAGGAATAAAGAAGATCATTTCTGAAATTTAGTGCTTTGCTTTCAAAATATGATTACTATCGCAAATATAGAAGGAGGAACATTTCACTTCACATAAAAGGTGTGAATTATCTCCTAAAGGACACGCACATGTGAGGCAAAAGTCAGAGAATGATGAACTGGGATTTTGTAAATGTGTGCAGCATATGCGTCCTATGGTGAATAACACATTGGAGGTACTGACGGGCACCGCTCTGTTTTTTGATACGGACGGGTCAAAATGGTTTCACTACTCCAAGCTGCCAGTAGAGGTCTGTGCTGCACTCTTCAGAGATGTTTTCAAGGGAACATTCATTGAGTCTCATTGCATTTGTGTCAGTATTGTACATTTCAGCTTTTAAAGTAATGCCCTGGGAAGAGGAATAACTGCATTTTTGATTTTTGATTTTTAAAAGTTTGTGTTTCTGTGAATAAAAGCATCAGGGTTTGTTTTCAAATGGATTTCAGTTCAGTGGAAAGTTCTTTCCACTGCATCGCATGATTATCATATTGCTTATGCATACGGCAAACATTGAAACAATTGTTGCCAAAAGATCCTTTATTATTTTGACTGTGGGGTCTTCTTATCTTTTGATAGAATTTTAAGAAAACTTTTCACCCTGGCAATGTGACAAAATATGAAATCCATTTTAAGAACAGATCTTACAATGTTGTTTGGTTTGTTTTTCAACTGAGGTGGCAATTTTAATTGTATGTATTTGATATAGTAAAGAAAATGTTATAGTCAGGTCTTTATTGCATAAAACCACATGAGGTATATAAAACATAATATGTGAACACAAATTTATTATTTCATTTCCACTCAGTACAAGATTAATATTTTAATGAGGAAACCCCAAAACAAGTGTCCCACCTGGAAGATGAAACAAATTATGAGAGGCTTACTTTTCTGATAGCTTTAGCAGCATAAATCAAGGCTAGTGTTACAGGTTTAGCGATGATAAACTCATATATGGAGGCACAAAACCGGCAAAGAGACTAGAACACTTAGAGACTAGAACACTCTGTAAGTATGTTTTGGCTCAGGATGATGCAGTTGATATGCTATCCCAAATGAGAATCCTGTATATACAGTATCCATGATTTGAAAAGTGAGGAATGGTGAATGTGGGCTGATGGGTTATTTTCAGCCCTCACTGTTGTTTTATGTTCACCTCATCTGTGTGTGTTGCGAATATGAGAGTGTAATCAGTGGGACTTTCATTCCTAGGCACTTGGCTCTTCCCCACAGAGAGCTCCTTAAAGTATTTATGAGGCTGTGCCGGCTGTATACAGATACCCGGCTGCTTTACAATTCATAGAAGACATGAAAAGAAGATGGTATGAATAACAAGTGGGAGTCAAAGATGTTTGGCTCGTGCGCGTGCCTTAATGCATAAAAGCGAACTTGCAAAAAACAAGCCTGTCAGGTCCAGTAACCTGAACATACAGTAGTGTAGAATAAGGTTAGCTTTCTGAAGGAGAGCTGCAGGGTTTTTTTCTTTCCTTGTGACTTTCCATGGAAGAGATCTCCAGATGTCTCCCTGGGGAGGCAGAAGAAAAACTGTGTCCAATTCAGGATTGCTGGGCTGCGGTCGGATCTCCCAGGTCCGGCTCTGGGCTCTTGGACAGGCTCTGTCTGTAATGAGGCTCATGGTTCCTGCAGGTCTCACCTCCCCCAGTAGGAGATAACAACAGCCTCTTTTAGAAGAGCTTCCATCCTCTGGGTCTGTTTTTGTAAGGAAAAATTCAACTGTATTTAAATAAAAAATACATGAAATAATAAATCAGAATGCCTAGCTGTAAAACGTCTTTTTTTGCCTTGAGGCCTGGAAATGTGGCCTCAAGACACATTTGTGTGAAGTTTTGGGGGCTTTTCTGTTTGCTTTAAAGAAATGCAGAGATCTTCTGAAATGAGCAAAAGTTACTCAATAAAAAAAGGTGGAGAAGAGAACAGGTTTTAGGGACTGTACTGTATATTCTGTGAAATATTATAGAACAGTGCAGGAAACAATAGCAATGAGTGAGGCAGACAAAAGGGTGAACGTTTTCACAGGTTTTTCTAGCAGAATATTGCATTTTATATTTCATGTTTAAAATATTTTATATAGCTTCTAAAACACATTCAAAATTGGGGAGATTAGGCACTGAGGCTTTTGGGAATACTGCTAGCCCAGTGCGTGTAATAGTCTGTATACCAAACTTGTTGAGAAATGAACTATTCTTAGTCAGAACTATTGACACCACTCCACTGCCATGGCCTTTTCTTAAGAATGTTGTATCACCCTATCTCAGGTGTGGTGCCACTTTACTTTGGGAATGTTGAAAGATCCTGAGAAACCCAGAGCTGCCCCTGTGCCCAAGATGCTAAGCCCCTTCTGTCTAGCCAACTCGAGTTCCAGAATCGTTGTTTGAATGAAGGTGTTTCAGAGGGATTGTAAAAAAAAAATCATAGAAGTGTAGATGGGCTTAGATATTCCAAACTGGGATCTTGCTGGAGACCTCCCACAAGAACTGCCCGGCCACGACATGCTTTATTACGCAAAAGAACATGCATCACAGTCTGTGCCCAATTAGAGCATGTTAACGTTACCCAATTTGAACTGTTACCATGGTGAAAGCAAGTCTCAGTAACTGCTGGAGGTGGTACAGAAAGCGCGTGGCAGACTTATCTCCACAGCCCATGTTCTGCCTTAAGTACGCATGGAATCCTATAACTCTATCTGCATGTGTGCATGTTAATAGAGGCTGCTCACAGCACTCTCTGCGATTGCTTGCAGGTGACTTCTTCAGCGGGGAGGTTCCGGTGGCTGATCTGTACATTGTGTCGAGGATCCTTCACGACTGGAAGGAGGGGAAGTGCGTGCAGCTGCTGCAGAAGCTCTACGCGCGGTGCCAGCCAGGTTCTCTCCATTCTCCGTTGATATCTCGAGTGCGCGGTTGCAAGTAAAGCGCTCTGGAACTCATTTACGTGAGCTGCATTTCAGCAGCCCGCTGGGGTTTTGCATTTAAAGTGCGACTGCAATTTGGCACACGTCTTAGAGGCTTTAAATCTTGGAGATTGTCTTAGGAGGTGGGCTTTTCAGGGTGATTACTTACTCAGGCTCCAGAATACGCACAGGTGAGAGCTGAATAACTCCGTTCCTTTGTTGAGGAGGGGAATCTGGGGTCCCTGGCAGTAATTAGCCTCATGCTTGCAGTTTTGACATTTTCTTTTTCTGTTGGTAGGAGTTCCATCGGTTAATCCCAGCGCCCCATAAAAGTAATTAAAAACGACAACAGAGCTTTCAGAGCTCAAGATAAAATTTGTATTTTTCAGGGAGAAACGTGTAAGATTGAACACCTGTTTTTCACCATCTGTATGCCAGCACTTCATAAAAGGGGTTCTAGGGCTTTCATTCATATTCCAATTACAAGATAAGTGATTGCAATGACTAAAAATATTAGCAAGAGCAAAAATTGAACCCTAATGCAGGATTTGTTTGTGTAGAACAAGATGGGTACAAAGAAACACAATTTAACCATCAGACAATACAAGACAGGGTGGGTGTTAATTTTATGTAATAGAAAGACTTATTTGTTTATAATTTTTTTCCATCTTAATATAATAGTATTCAACCACTAGCTTTAATTAGAATTTTTAAAGAATATTACATGGGTTGTGTTTTAACTGTCACAAATGGGAAAAAAAGAAATAACACATCTCTGCAGATTGGAAGTATTTTTTTTAAAAGGTACACTGAAAAGGGGAATGCAAAAGAAACCCAAACCGCTCTGCTGGTGTGTACATGGGGTCAGGAGCAGATGTAGTCTGTCTTGGCGCTGGCCTCAGTGCGGTCTCTCTGCCTGTCAGGTGGCGGGGTCCTGATTGTGGAAGCCCTCCTGAGTGAGAACAGAAGAGGCCCAGTGTACGCTCTGCACAACTCCCTCAACATGCTCGTCCACACTGAGGGCAAGGAGCGGCCGGCCCCGGAGTACTTCAAGATGCTTTCCACAGCGGGGTTCAAGGACCTCCAAGTTCGGAGAACAGGAAAATCCTATGATGCTGTTTTGGGAAGAAAATAAGCGCTAAGGAGAGGGCAGAGCACGGGTGTTTTTTTTTCTAGTCTTTATGTAAAAGTGCATGCTTAGGTGCTAAATCTTTACATGGGTTGAGATCTGATTAAAACCTGTGCACGCAAAAAAAGTGTTTTTAGAGAACAGCGTATTTAGTTTAATTTTCCTGAACTTGTGGTACTCGATCTAGACAATCACACAGATTTACACGTTACCTCAGGCGAATACATGCCTACTTTCACCTCGTTTTTCTCACCTTGTAGAGTAGCATTTACTCAGCTGTTTTTTCTTTGCATGCTATAGAAAATGGACTCTGCACCAGTTGGCGAGAAAAGTGTTTGCTTCTCTCTTATTTGTTCTTACTGGACCACAGTGAACACAGAAGTAATGTTGTTTACCAGGTGGATGCTGCATATTGGTGGTGGTGGAGGAGAGTCCTGTAAAGGTTTACATTACCTGTAAAGCGCTTTGAGTGGAGTGTCCAGAAAAGCGATATGCAAGTGTAAGCAATTATTATTATTATTTACCACAGGTTTGTGTTGAATTTCCTTCAGACTGTATTGTTGAGAAATTAAAGTTCTGAGTGACGTCTCGCATTCTGCTCATATGAGCTAAGCAGCTCCTTAACACAAATGATTCCCCAGCTACACCATCATATCTGTCATTAGCAGTTTCCTTATACATTATTACAAACTGTTCACCAAAAGTGAGTATTAATTTTCTTTTTAATCATGAGACGGCAGATCATCTGTTTTTTTTTTTTTGGAATTTAATATGAAATTTTGTGTTTAAAGGAAAAAGGATTCATTAAATGTTTTTCTCATTTTAAGGTGCATCATATGCTTTCCAATAGTTGGGATGGCAACGTGAATCTCTCAGAAGAGCAAAGCCGGCAATATGTTCGCCTGCCATAAGTTTTATGTTTTATAATGAGGTAATTTAATTCTGGACACAAAGTTGCCCACTGTTTGGAACATGCTGGAGAAGTTTAATTATTGTAAGATTCACACAGATTACCGACAATGGCAAACAGAAATCATCTTAAATCAACTTTTTTATTCAATTTAACTTTATTGAAATTACAGTTACAATATAGATGGAAGTTATCACACCACTGGGAAAAAAAACCCAATATATTGGATGTAAGACACACAAAATGTCAACTACACAGTATATATTTTAAACCTATTAAGACAGGGTCTGAGTAAATGAAAAGGCTACGAAAAACATTCATAGTTGGACAAAGTGAGTGAGATAACTGAAGAATTTGTACACTTAATGTATAGTGGGTATAGTAAGTCATCACTCCCTTTCAAAATGTTCACCTTTCTTGCCCTAAGGCCCAAAAAGAAGGCAAATAAAATCATCAGACTAGTTCCAGTTTTATTTACAAATTGTACATTGCAACATCCATGTGAAAAAAGAATAACTGTGTTGGATAAGAGAACACCCCCCTGAGTTAATACTTGGTGGAAGCACCTTTTGCTTGAATTACAGCCTTAAGTCTGTTTGGATACATCTCTACCAACTTTGCACACCTAGAGAGAGGAATATTTGCCCATTTCTACTTACAGAATTGTTAAAGCTCAGTCAAACTGTGTGGTGACCGTTGATGAACCCCCCTCTTCAAGTCATTCCAGAGGTTTTCAATGGGATTTAGGTTGGGGCTCTGACTAGTCCACTCAAGGACATTCACCTTCCTGTTCTTTAGCCACTGTACGGTTGCTTTGATGGTGTGCTTTGGGTCATTGTCATGTTGAATGGTGGACCATCATGTTCAACTTCCTGGTTGAAGGCTGCAGGTTTTCTTCAAGAATGTTTCTGTATTTTGCACCATCCATCTTCCCTTCTATCCTGACAAGTACCCCAGTCCCAGCTGAAGAGAAGCACCATGGGAAACTTAAAGCCTTTGAAATATTTTTATACCGATCTCCTGACTTGTGCCTTTCCACAGCTTTATCTCAAAGTTCTTTTGAAAGCTCCTTTCTCCCTATAGTGGATTCATTGGACTTCCACACAGTGGGATCTTCTAGAAACAGCTGCTTTTATTCTGAACTAATCAAAATCACCACAGTTGATCACAGGTTGGAGCTAACTTGTTTGTTGAGTGATCTGTAAGGTGATTGGTTATACCTGAGCAAGTTTACAAATGCAGTTGTAGCGGGGTGTTCACTTATCCAAATAAGGTATTTTACTGTTGAAATATTAATCTTCAGAATGTTTAAGAATTTTATTTTCACTATTCTAATGTGAGTTACTGAGTGTAAATAAAAATGGAACAAGCCTAATTTTATTTGTTTTTATTTTCAGAGTGTCATACAACAAAAGGTACAAATTTTGAAAGGGGGTTGTGACTTTCTGTACCCACTTTATATTAAATTTAGTGTGATAAACTGCTTTTGTTTTTCATTATCTCCTGCTTAAAATGTGTTGTCTAAATAGTTGGGAAAGAGATGTGAGACTTGTACCCCACAGTCCCCAAAATGTGTCCCTTCTGGTAGTACACCATCAGTACTCATTCTTGTGAGTTTAAAATTGGACCTGACAGCTCATTATTGCAACTATATTGCTTTTATTAATCTTTATTAATCTTAATTTTTTCTCTTAACTGCCTTACGCTGTCTGGTCTGTAATAGTCAGATGAAATATCATAAAAAACCCAGCCATTACATCAAGAAAGGTGATGTTTATCTGTTTTCTTTTTCATCTTAAAGTTAAAGACTTTAGTGTTAACAAGAACAGTAATTTTAGGGGCATATAAATGTTTGTTTTAATTAGATCCATTTGTGGATTACAAGAAACTGCGTTGTTTTATACTCCATAGTGCTTGCAAAACAAGGCATACCTTAAAACAAACTACTCCTTTTATAATAATAATTCCTTACGCTTCTATAGTGTTTTTCCTCACACTCCACTCAAAGTGCTTTACAGTTAATGTAATGGGGACTCCCTTCCACCACCAATGTGCAGCCCCCACCTGGATGATGCAACGGCAGCCATAGTGCGCCAATATCACTTATCACACACCAGCTATCAGTGTGGATGAGAACAGAGTGATGTTCATAGATGGGGATTATTAGGAGGCCGTGATTGGTAAAGGCCAGGGGGAAATTAGGCCAGGAGAAACACCCTGGGGTTTTATGTTTTATGTTTCATCCAAAGGACATCTCCTTTTTACATTATAGTGTCCCTGTCATTAGGACCCACACAGACCGCAGGGTGAGCATCCCCTGCTGGCCCCACTAACACCTCCTCCAGCAGCAACCTTAGTTTTTCCCATGAGGTCTCTTATCTAGGTACTGACCAGGTTCACACCTGCTGAGCTTCAGTGGGTTGCCAGCTGTGAGTTACAGGCTGCTGGCAGGAAATATGTCTAAGAATGTCTTGGTTGTGTTAAATCCTCCAGGAAGACATGATAGTAAAAAGCTAAAATGACACTTTTTGGATCACAGAGCACAGGTGTTGTATGAACACTGTCCGTAGATGGACCTGGGTCACATTGTGTTACTTGTGCTGCAGTGTGTGGGTCAGTCAGTGGCACTGAATCCTACAGTATGACTTCCAATCATTTATCAGCGATAAAGAGCCATAGGCATCCGTGAACAGTTGAAAAGGGATTTGGAATGGATTGTGGCTCTTTCAGAGCAAATTCATTACATTTTAGCTTAGCTAAATTTAGCTTTAGCTACATTTTAGTACAATTCATTACATTTTAGCCCAGAAGTTTTCTGTATAGAATTTAACAATGGTTTATGCCTAGGCGCACTGAAGCATGGGCATTTGATGGGCAATCCCGCAGGACTCATTGCACAGATTTCCAGTTTCTGACGCAGACAGCGAGACAGCCTCCCGGCAGGCCAGGTGGAGATCACTCACACGAGTCGAGACCGGATATTCGGGTAGTGTTGGGAGCTCGGTGGCACACAGCAATTACAGTTGATACAAAGTGTATGAAGGGTTTGTCCTGTGTGATTAGAGAGGAGTTAATAAATGTCTGTCTTGTGTTATGACTTGAATAAGTAAAGCCTGAATAAGTCATTTCATGTTCAAAGAAGAAGTAACTTCTTGAACTTTACTGAGTATTGAACTATACAGACAATGTCAAATGCCCTGAATTCATTATTCAGCAGATTAAATTATACAGGGTCTGAACGTCCAGAGCATACTTCAAAGTTCATAAACTGATACCCTTTGACATGTATTTCTTAATGTAATCAGAAGGCTTGTGGCTTTATTAATTTAGATTCCATATTTCATAAAGAGGAAATATTAGACTGGTAATAACATTGTATAGGTGGGAATACTAGGCTCCACAAACCATTTTGTTCATTTTTTAGTCTTAGCAACTGAAATAACATCTCTGGTATTTCGAGACTAGACACCAGCAAATTACTACTGTAAGAGTTAAGGTGGCTTATTGAACTGTTTTGCTTTAATAGGTAAAAAGGTACTTTTTTAATATGGTGATGGGAAAAATATTTGTAACTATACAATTAAGGCCAGAATATCAGTCTCTTTACTTCAACTCTTTATAGTATTCATCTCCCCAAAAATAGAGGTAATAGCACTTATTATATACTTGGTATTCAGTATATATTAAAGATATAAAAATGTAAGTATGATACATTTTGGTTTCCACTTTCTTCTATTTTAAAGGAATACTGTTTTCTGTTATGCAAGTGGCATGAAGGGATTTTCTTCTAATGTTTAGATGAATTTTATCTAAATTTGTTAGATTATGAACCAAATAAACTTCTCAGACAATCACCTTGAAATGTTTGCTGTTATTTCTCCCTGTACTTTTTCACTCAGTGTTTTGTATCGTCATTTTGTGTGTGCATCAACATTAAAACCAAGGCAATGTGAGTAAAATACTTTGATTACAAGTATAATAAATATACTTTATGTGAAAAACATGAGCTCTAGGGGACTGCTTTTAATCTGTGTAGCCAGCGAAAAAAAGGTTCCATCCACAGATTGCCCTTAATTAGTAGAATATAATTTAACTAATTAGATGTGACTAGTTTGAATGTAATAAAAAACACATTTGAATAAAAATACATTATTGCAATCTAAGAAATATTTCTGTATTTTACAGTGTAGATGTTTACTTTCTAACTACTCTTTCAAGCCAAGTCTGTAGTAATGGCTAATTCAGGTCTAGAGTCATGACTCACAGTGGCTTAGTGGTTTCTGAGCAGTAACTTTTAAGACCCAGTTCATTATTTATAGATTTTTTTCTCGCCCATCTGTTTCCTCTTTTTCCATAACGAGACTCCTTCAGCAGCGCAGGCTGCCAGCACAGGAGAAACCACCTGCTTGAGATAGGGCGAGACTGGAGCAGCTGTGTGCTCACCATATTCCAGCTTGCTGCTGCCAGATACACTAGATTGTTCTGTGGCGTAAAAGAACTTAAAGGGCAAGAAGGACCCGCTTCTTCAGGGATTACAAGATGTCCAGCTGTCGTGGGACCTGAAAAAGCATTACAATCCTTCGGACCCAACTGGGCTCTTTCATAAACCACACTGCACTAAAAAACGGAAGCAATAAAATTCAGGCAGTTGCCTGGACAATGAAGGAAAACATTTTAAAGGATACCAGTGTATA